CTAGAGAGCAAGACTTATGAAGAGCGGCTGAGGGAACTGGGACTGTTTAGCCTAAAGAAGAGGAGGCTGAGGGGAGACCTTATCGCTCTCTACAACTACCTGAAAGGAGGTTGTAGTGAGGTGGGTGTTGGTCTCTTCTCCCAAGTAGTTAGCGATAGGACAAGAGGAAATGGGCTCAAGCTGCACCAGGGGAGGTTTAGATTGGATATTAGGAAAAATTTCTTCACTGAAAGGGCAGTCAAGCATTGGAACAGGCTGCCCAGAGAGGTGCTTGTGTCTCCATCCCTGGAGGTGTTCAAAACATGTGTAGACGTGGCACTTTGGGACATGGTTTATTAGGCATGGTGGTGTTGGGTTGATGGTTAGACTGATGATCTTAGAGGTCCTTTCCAATCTTAATGATTCCTAGTTTTATTTTCATTAAAAAATAATGCAGACACCAAGCCAGGAAACATGAAACTGCTACTCTACCCTTAATTGGTTTAGTGGTGGGCTTGGTAGTGTTAGGTTAATGGTTGGACTTGATGATCTTAAAGGTCTTTTCCAACCTAAACGATTCTGTGATTCTATGATTCTATATCCTGATTTCACTGGAAACTGGGAAACTTTTTCCCCCATTGCTGTAGAACAGAGGATCTTCATTCTGATGGCTCACTAACCGACTGCTCCTGCATGACCTTATTTTTACATTGGTGCTCTCAGGGCATCCTGAGCCAAAGATCCAGTTGTCATCTGTAGCATGACAGGATTCAGTGGGTCCCCATCTGTTGGGGTGGGGGAGTGTCTTTGGTTTCATCTCTGGCAAATATGAAGCACTGGTTGGCAGTGTGGGGCTATCTCAGGGCAGGACAAGGAAGATTATTTCTTGGGATTTAGCTTCCTTAGTTGTGCAGTCACACCAAGACCCAAGTGCTTTATCAAAATAATTTTTATTTTTTGTGTTATTGAACCAGTTTTATGATGGCTGGTCATCAAGGGGTTTCCCTTTCTTTCTGTCAATTAATTACTACTGTGATCAAGTGCTTGTGACATCTTATTTCCCTACCACAAGGGACAGTCTGCCTTTTGCAAATTGTGGGCAGTGTGAGTGAATATAGCCTTAAGGAATTGACATGTGCTGCTAATAGTTCATTTGCCATTGCACAGAGATCCTGGTGTGAAGAGGTGGGGAAGAGCATGCAGGAAGCTGGTTTTACTTAGCTGTTTTCACTTATTGGTCTACCAGAACTGGTAATAATGTTACTGACTAGTCCGCCATAGACATCTAGTGACAAGTCACTGGATCAAGGCATATCTTTGAAGCAGGACTGGACCTGACCATGAATCCAAGATTGCCCCTCAGTTGAATTGGCACAAGCAAAACAATCCCACAGGAGTCGATTTGCACCTCTTTCCTTTCCTTCCCCCTTCCCTGGAGATCATTCCATGGCTTGTATGGACTATGCCTGTGCTGTAGAAGAGGAGAAAATACACCTTCAGTGGTTTATAAAGCTGTGCTACATAGGGACGGGTCACAGAATTGTTTTTCACCAATGTAAGCCAGGTCCAAGTCAGGCCTGAGATGTCACCCTTGAGGCCCTAGTGCATTTGCACACCCACATAAGGGTTTATAATCTAGTTTTATGTGTGAAGGAAAAGCAAACTTTTGGCAGGGTAACAGTTATGAACTGCAAATTATTTCAGTGACTTAATGTTGCATCACTTCAGTACTTGGCGAGAGTTTTGATTTATGGGTGCAATTAGTGAGGGAGACTATAGTATGAAGGTTTGCTTTTGAAAGGCGAACATGCTTGGAATAATACACTGGCAGATTGAAAGTCCTTTGTGAATGGCTGTGGCTTACACATACACATTACAGTCCCAGGTAATGATCTGTCTCTTTTTTTTTCCCTGTCTTTTTTTTTTTTTTTTTTTTATTCTTTCTCATCGTGTTTTCTAATTTGCAAAAGAATTACTGAAGCTCATACCCAGCGTCTAGTACACATCCAGTCAATGCTGAAGAGAGCTCCAAGTTATCGAACCCTGGAACTGGAGCTGATTGAATGGCAGGAACGGGAGTTATTTGAGTATTTTGTGGTAGTGTCACTGAAAAAGAAGCCTTCTAAAAACACTTACCTCCCAGAAGTGACATATCAGTTTCCCAAGGTAAAAGAAAAATTCTTACATACAGTTCATTCTAAGATCAATAAAGTGAATAAGTGGGAAATTTAATAGAAATCTATTTTTTAAATGGAGTTAATCATTCAGCTTTTGTAATTTTTCCAAAGCAATCTGTTACAAAGCAAAGGATGTAGAGAAGGTGGCTGAAAGCTTTCCCTGTTTACAAGTATATCTTTTCCAGTGCTGGAGAGTTTGGCCTGATGGTAGGTGCTTTAAAGACTGTGTTTAAATTCAGTTTCTAAATGTTTCATTTCTAACTCCTTTTGGCTATATTAGGATTTGTTCCAAAACTCACTGAAGTCAATGGAAAGACTTTTGCTGATCTATGGCATTTCTCTTGTGCTCTTGCAGCAGAAAGGAATTTGAGTTAGGAATTTAAGTGGCCGTTGTGCAACAAGAGAGTTTCAGGCAATTTAAAAAAAAAAATTAAAAAACCCAGCAGTGATTATTTCTATTGTACTAGCATCTATAAGCCTGTCCTGGTCATGCCTCATTCTGCCAAGCACAAATAAAGAACAAGCTGATGAGCCCTTGCTCTTCAGCGATCATTAGTAACCCCCGCTCCTGAGAGGTGCTCTGAAGCTGGCACTAACAGTAACTGACTGAACCTCAATTTTCTTCCCCGCAGCTAGAAAGACCAACCAAGCAAATGCGTGAAGCAGAGGAGCGTCTCAAGGCTATCCCTCAATTCTGCTTTCCTGATGCCAAGGACTGGCTCCCTGTCTCCGAATACAACAGGTAAACCCTCTGGTGCTCCTCTGCTGCACAGTGCTGATGGAGTGCATCTGGAGCAGCCACTGGCTTGCCAATGCCCAATTAAGGAAGTAGCAGTTTGAGTCTTGGCCATTTCAGGCTCGAGCAGCTGTATTTAATTTTTTTTTTTTTTTTCCAAGTTCTGTATTATTTTTCTTCCCTGTTCTGCCTGGCTCACAGGCCTGTGTGGCCAAGGGGAAGAGGTTTGAAGGTTCCTCTCAGTGCTAAACTCAAAAGCATAAATGGAAGTATTTAAAATAAATCTTACAAAGGACAGGGCCCTGCCCACCACCTGCCCTAGTCATTTACCCCAGAATGCTTGTGTAACATTGCAGGACACCTCTTCATTTGACTCAAAGCAATGCTGTTCTGAGAACTTTTTTGGACCCAAGCTCTGTGCCAGCAGAGGAGCCCTATCTTCCTGTACTCGGAGATGAATGACTACAGGAGAAGGGCAAGGGAAGGGAGAGCCAGGCTTGCATTTTCTTTTTCATTCAAAAGAAACCTCAGAAAATGTATCTTTTTTTTTTTTTTTTTCCCCTGCATTGATGTATCAGAACCTGTTGATCTGAAGGTGTAGAAGTAGTAGAATAAGCAGAAGGGGTAGAATCATAGAATGATTTCGGTTGGAAGGGACCTTTAAAGGTCATCTAGTCCAACTCCTCTGCAGTGAGCAGGGACATCTTCAACTACAGCAGCTTACTCAGAGCCCCGTCCAACCTGACCTTGAATGTTTCCAGGGACGGGGCATCTACAGCCTCTCTGGGCAACCTGGTCCAGTGTTTCACCACCCTCATTGTAAAACATTTCTTTCTTATATCTAGTCTGAATCTACCCTCTTTCAGTTTAAAACCATTGCCTCTTGTCCTATCACTACAGGCCCTACTAAAAAGTCTGTCCCCATCTTTCCTGTAAACCCCCTTTAAGTATTGAAAGGTCACAATAAGGTCTCTCCGGAGCCTTCTCTTCTCCAGGCTGAACAATCCCAACTCTCCCAGCCTGTTCTCATAGGTGTTCCATCCCTCTGATCATTTTTGTGGCCCTCCTCTGGACCTGCTCCAACAGGTCCATGGCTTTCTGGTACTGAGGGCTCCAGAGCTGGATGCAACACTCCAGGTGGGGTCTCCCCATATTCCCCTAGAATATGAGATGGCTTTTTAAGATGCATGGTCTGAGATGTGTGTAAATGAAGTAAAACCTGTTCAGAGTGTGCCTAGAGGGACTTTCAATGATGAAAAGGAACTAGCATTCACCTGCAGGAATTACTGTAGCCAACAATATGTATGGAACCTTTTATTGGCTTATGTATGGCACATGCAACATAACCATGTTGTATTCTGTGTTGCTTGGCTGTATTATTCAGTATGTGGAAGCACCTGAATAGTGACTTATTGAAAATACTGCAAGAGAAGTGGACAACTGTGTGGGCAACATTGGTATGAGAAGCACACAGCCCTGCCTACACAGCATTTCACCTCTGCTGCTGCTACTCTCCTAGAGACCTTTCAACAGCCCATGTCTGTGAAACAAGATACCCCTCCCATATACAGCTATAATTCTATAAACCCTGGCATTCTGGCACAAAGAAGTGTTTTATATAATGCCATTTAAAACTTGCAAAACAGTCAGGAATGTTTCTCAGTCCAGGCACAAATTCACAGACCCATCCCTTTATCTGTGCTGTAATTACAGTTGTTTCTGGATTAGAAAATGATTTCTCTACTCTTAGAGAATGTCTAAGGTTCTCCCTTTAAGAACAAAGCACAGTCCAAAGACAGGATCTAACAAAAAGGTAAGGGAGATATGGCATTTGAATACGGCCCTCAAAATCTGATTCTTGTGTTCCTTCTGCATTACAAAGGCACTGCCATGTCATTGAAATTCAGCACCCATCTCTTCTTATAACAAGATAGCTAGGTTGTCCACAACCGTGCAGATATTTTTGCTCTACTGCTGATGGAGTTTATCCATAGAGTATGTCCAGATGATGGGCAGAGGGAGAGAAGACCCTCCAGTGGGTAGAATCTCTCACTGGATAAGGCAGTATCCATTTCTAAATGATCTACCTTGTAGCTATGCTGTAGTTCTGATAGTAAGATCTGGGCAATTTATTTTCTCCTAGTGAGACCTTCTCTTTCATGCTGACTGGGGAAGATGGGAGCCGGCGGTTTGGTTATTGCAGGAGGCTGTTGGTAAGTACATCAACTTCACCTCAAAACGTAGAATTCTGTTAAACGATATCTCAAAACTGTAGTCTGAACTTTGAGGGTGTCTCACATGGTTTTAAAAGAAAATGGAGTTACTCACTCTGAAATTTGGAAATGTAAGGAGCTCAAGTAAAATAAGAATTTGTAATGGCTGTCTCAATCAAATAGATCCCAAGTCTTGTAGGAAATTCATAAGAATGTGGAAAGTTTCTTGTGTGAGGAATTACTTTTTAAATTCTTTGTATTACATGCTTTCAAGCAGAATCAGAAATACTACAACACTGCAAACAAAGGCAAATGTGGTATTTCTAAACATTTGTGAGCAACATTTATCTCTTGGACAGCTGCTTGCATCTCCAAAGTACTCTGCCAGCACTGCCAAGTCAGCCTGCAGCAGGTCTGTGATGTAGGTAAATAAGCCACCCTGTCGAGTAGGAGGGCAACAATAGTGAAGAGCAGGCCACCATCACCATTTGCTCAGGACCATGCAATAAGCTGATGCCAGTGCCAGGAAGTCTAGGTTCTCAGGCTCCTTTTCAGTCCTCATGACCAGCGGTGGTCAACTGGTGGCGTGGAGACCGGACTCAGCTGACCAGTTTTGTCTTATCACCTGGAAAATCACTGGTTACCTGATAAATTGAGAGCCAGGCAGCGTGTGTATGTGTCGGGGTGGGAGGAGGGGCAGGGAGGAAACAGCACAAAGGCTTGCAAAGTGTATTGAGGCAGCTGAAGCACAGAGCAACCAGGGATTTTGCTGTCCACCCTGCAGGTCTGTCTGGGTAGCAGCAAAGCATACAGCAGTACCAGCCTGTGTTCATCACCTCTCCGATAGGTTTGGAGCCAGCTGAGAATGACTAGACAGGGAGCCATGGCTGCTGTGCTGTTCACATGACAGTTGCCTACACTTGGTTGGAGAACTTACATGGATATTGGATGCTGCAGGAGCATTTTGTGTACTCTCTGTGTAAAATGAACGTCTGCAGCAGCATTGCAAACTTGTAAATAGGTACCCCCTATCTAAGAGAAAAGGACACTCGCTTTCCCCCTCCTTTCCTCTCTGGCATGATTTCCCATCTTTCCAAGCAGGGAGCACCGGCCTTCATTAGCTTTCAGTGGCTTCCAGTAGACAGAGCAACTCGCTGTCATTAGAACAGCACCCTCCATCCTGCATGCTGCCTGTACCTGACCCTGCTCTAACCCTGCTCTTTGTCTATGGCAAAGCTCCTTGTCGTGCAGGCAGCAGATGCTCTGTCTGGGAGGTATTGCTGTGTGTGGTTCCTCTATTTGTAAGAAGTTTCGTTTAAACTAACATAACAGAAAACTTGTTTATCAATTCTGTGGGCGGTATTTGCCATAGGTAGCATCACAGACTCGCTTACTCTGTATAACACAGTGTGTAAGTGTGGGCCACAACAAGGTTTATATGTGGAAAGGAAATGTCAATGAAGGCTTGTGTTGCAGTAAATCTAGGGCTGGTCAGGGGGTGATTCAGAGATAAACAAGTGGAGCACCTAGAAGGTATCCTTGCTGGTGTAAATAAGCATAACAAGATGTAGTGCAGCAGTACAATTCAATTACTTTTTATATGATGGCATTTAAAAGGATAAGAAGGTATATTTGGAAAAAAATAACAAAACCTCAGAAAATGTTCACTAGAATTAAATTATGGAATGTTTCCATTCTAGCAGGTAAAGGTGGTTTAAGACTTGTATTTCTGGGAACGATAGCAAGTTTGGAATCATGCACAGAGCTTACATTTGTGAAATGCAAAACAGTTGATCCTGGACCAGGCTGAGACTGAAGTAACGACCCACAATAAAAAAGATGTATACACAGAAATGTTGAATTAGTTTGTCAATGAAGGATTAATGTAGGCATTTTTTACTCACTTAAGGCTCAGTGAAATCTACCCTACGTTAAAGGCAACATAAAAATAGAGCATAAGAATAGAGCACTGACTTTCAGCTGGTACAGAAGATAGGTTAGCATAGTAAGAAATACCAGGAACAGAATTAAATCAATATTACACACTTTTATATAAATGGTGTTTTGAGACAACATTGGAGATTGTTTTTATCCTCCGCTGGCTATGGCAAAAATCAATCAGCCAGATAGTAAAAAATGGAAAAATAAGTACTGTTTCGCTAAATCTATCTAATAATTATAAAGTCAGTTATAAAGCTGATCTGCTGCTGCCCTGAGAGATCACTTGATTCAGGATGTTTCATCTGGTTCCAAAACCTGACATGCAGAAGCTGACGTGTCTCATCTCACTGGTACAGCCTACCCAGCAGAGGAAAGTGGAGTGATACCAATGTACTTTACCAGCTTGTCCCTTTCTGGGGCAAATCCTGCCATGCCTTCTGAGAACAAAACTTGCACAGTCTGGGGCTTAGGAAGAAAGAGGAAGCCGCAGAGAAACATCTCAGCATTTGTCTCTCTGGGGAAATGGCAAAAGTAGCAGAGACCTGCTGTTATTTGGATCCTGCAACCTCTTTCTGTTCTGCTGGGAGAAATGGTGGAATTGGAGTTGTTACCTGAAGTGGCTTCTCCATAGGGTTCAGCTGTGCTCACAAAGTGTAACAATTTCTTGTCCCCTGCAAATGTTGGTGCATGGATGGAACAGCCTCACTGATGTGTTCCTCAATGTGATATTTCTATTTACAGTCACGTGCACACTTTCTTCTTTTATATATGCAAATACAGCGTTTGTACAGGCAACAAGGAGCAGGTAAATTTTGCAGGCACTGTTTATATGCCAGAGGCTTGGGCTCTGAAGCAGATTTTTGTGCTTGGGTGTCCAATTTCCTGAGAAGTTTCCAAAAGCTTCAGTCAGGGTGGCTCTGTTGTCCAGGAGTGCACAGCATCTCCTCCGATTAGTCCCATTCCTGACCCACAGGTTCTGTCAAATGCAATAACCATAATTAGAGAACTACATGCAGGTTTTGGCAAACAGTACGTAAGAGAAAGGTGGGGCCATACCGTGTAACATAGAAACATAAGAAAACCCTAAAATCATTACAAACTGCTCTGCTTCAAGACAAGCCAGCTGCTGTGAGGCTAATTCCTTAGAAAATATTCCCCAGCTGTCCTGGTGAGCCATGCTCTTGTAATGCACAGCGAGAGGTGTCCCACGCGTTCTAGAGCACTTGGCAGTCGGCGGCCGCAGGCTCCACAGCTGCATGGGCCAGCCAGCCTGATCCTGTGAGGGCGGCTATCTGTGTCTTCTGTGGAGGTTGGTGTTACCATTCCTCTGTTTATGAAACAGTTACTTTTTGTCAGTCTTGCTCTCCTTTGGCATGTTGTGATATGAACAAACCGCTCCACTTTTTCTTTTCTGCCTTCGGACTTCAGATTATTCCAGATGCTTTTTTTTGGGGGGTGTGCTAAAACCCTGCCAAAACTACCTCAAGGGATACAGTGACAATTATGTTCTGTTTGTACTACAAATCCTGTACAGTATCCCCTTTAAATGTATTTATATTGTCTTGTTTCATTTTGGAACAGGATTAGAATGGAATGTAACCTACTGTACCACAGCAAACAATCTGCACTTCCATAGATAGCATGAAGTTTTCCAGTTACATCTTGATACCTCCAAGGCAATCGTGTAACAGCTTTCCTAGTGACTTGATGTGAGAAGTATGCATCTTCATATAAAAGAAAACGGGCCAATATGTAGTAGAGATATTAACTCTCATTTTACTCTCTCATTAACTCTCTCATTTTACTAATTGCCTTGATTTAATATGTTAAAAAATTGCTTTCCAGAGGGTGTGACTGAAGTGTTAGCTCTTCTCTATCTGTCCAGCTCCATAGGCTTGTGCCCAGTAAGAGCACAGTGGATATACAAGGATCACAGTGGTGAAAGCAGGGACCTTCTCAGCAGGTTTCTGCTGACAGAGCCTCAGCTGCAAGAACCACCAGTACTGGAAAATCTGCAAAACTTTCTGTACTGGGAGGCCATGAACGGTCTCTGAGCCCAGAAGAAAGGGTGTAGACAACTCGAGAGACACCAGGCCTATATCCTTTGGGAGATGCTTGGATCCAGGGCAGCTCCTTGGCAGCCTGGGCTGCCAGTGGGCTTATGGCTGGGGGGCGGGACGCTGCGCGCAGCCTGGGCTGCCAGTGGCCTTATGGCTGGCATCTGCAGCTGTGCCAGACCCTGTCCCCAGGGACAGTCATGGCATGTAAGCTGCTGTTTTATGGGATCTTCACAAGCATCTTAGGCTTTACTGCCATGGGACTTGCTGCAGATGCTGAGGGGTGCTAGTGCTAGCTAGTGGGGCAGTAGTGGAGTATAAGATACTGCATCCTCAAAGCAATGTCCTGCAGTTTGTTGCCAAAGCTGGCAGATGGTTCATGGGAACAGCAGGAGACACATTTCTATCATATAGGGCAGACTTGTGAGAAGACCCAGTTCTCAGAGCAGAAAGCCTGACAATGTCAGGATTTCTTGGCTGGTAACTTTGTACTTGCAGAAATAATACAAAAACTTGCAGAGTCTGTTTCACCCTATCCTATCTCTCTCTTCCCTTTCACATAAAAAATGCTCCTCCATCACTTTTCTAGGCTAAGATGAGCCAGCCCCAGGAGTCAGTGGAGGAGTGGATGCCTGAACATGAAGTGTGTACATTAAAACATGACAAACAGTCATTAGGTGGGACTAGTTCATCCTGCATTTGCTGGGGCAGGAGAGGGGAATTCATTACACTGTGAAAGCAACTTTTGTGGGATGCAGGATAATGATTGTGAAACTGAAAAAAGCTCACTGGAAAACCTTTTCTTCCCCTTGCCTTATTCCCTCCATCCTGCCCTCCCCCAAGCACCTTTGACAGCCCTGTGCACATTGGGTGCTCTGGCATTAAAAGTTCATGTTTCACATATAACAAGAAGACTTTAAGACAAGTTTTTGGATTTAAGACACCCACAGTTTTCTCATGGTCTGAATTTGGATTGCCCCTAACAAGGAATCAAGAGCTGCCCCAGAAGCTGGCTTGTGACTGACGTATTCATTTTAGACTCTCAACATTTTAATTGTTCTGATTCCTGACACCATTAAGGAACATCTCTGTTTCTGGATATATTGGCTTGCTGGTGAGGCTAGGGCTTGTGTGGCCATGAGGCTGTGACTGCGATCTGATCTGACACAATAGCCTGATTTCTGCAAACCTACTTTTCTGTCTCTGTATTTGTAGGTCTGTCGTTCTTTAAGTTAAGCCAGCAACAAAACAGCAGACTTCCCAAGAAGGAGCCTTGCTGGGTTTTCAGTATGTCTCTCTCTTTCTGAAACTTCCAAGCCTCATCTAGTATATGCAGAAAAATGTTCATGGGAGGCATGTCCTCTATCTTCTTGATGTCATCCATTCAATCTACACACCCCATCACCTTGTGTGTGGCTCTAATACAACGGAGCAGGAGAAATGTGCTGGGAAGTTATTCAGGAATACCATGTTTCCCTGTTTTAAGCTTTGGATTGAATCTGCGTCTTTCACTGTTCCAAGATCAAGACAGTCCTAGAGCCAGGTAGGATTAAAATAGTGTCCTTTTTGCTCTCCTGCAGAGGGGAGTAAACATTACACAATGTGTGTGTGAAAATGGCATTTGCTTGTCATTTAGAGTGAAACATTTTTAAGTACTATCTCTGTTATATAATCATTGCTTCAATTACAGCTAATTGCAATTGAAGCATCTACAGTTCTGGTCTTAAAGGCAAGCCCAGGGTGTTAGAGGCTTACGCAGAGCTAACGCATGTGCTTTGCAAAGGCTGCTTCCTTCAGACAGCTCTGCTGCTGCTGTGCACTTGTGATGGTCCTTTTTCACCTGGCCTTGGGGTGGCCCTTACTGCTTCCTCCAGTTTTCCTAATAATGCTCTCTGGAGAGTTATTTAGAAGATTGCAGGCAAGATGTCCTGTCTCATTTTGGGGAGGAAGGAGCACAGCCTTTCTGGAGTCTTCAGGTTGTTGCTAGCCTGTTTCTTGCTGCACTCCTGCTTCTTTGAGATGGCAGGTAGGACTATGGTGCATGTTTCTCTTTCTTGCTGTTTGGTAGGTCTGGTTTTGCTGCCTTTCCTCTCCACACAGTGTATCTTCAGGTAGATGGGGCAGGCTGGGAGGAGAAGTGCAAGAGGAAAACTGTTGTGTTTGGTCCCCACTGCTTTGGTTCCTTTGATGTCAACATGCTGGGACTAGCATTCCCCAGTTATTTCTGGGGCTGTGAAACCAGGAGCTTTCCTGACACCCCACAGCCTCCCCAGTATCTTAAAAAACTCAAACCATTGAGTTATGTGTCTGAATGGCTGGTGAGTATGCACACTGCAGGGACAGCCTGCCTTGCTTTGAAAGCAGGTGCGTGCAGTGTGTGAGACACTCAGTGCTGTGCCAGACTGGGAGGAGATCTCTGAAGGCTCCTCTAGATTTCAAGTGCATGGGCAGGGAGGTGTGATTTGAAAGAGAAAAATGGCAGGCTTATATTTTGGAGCAAAAGCCTCCTGTTTCTCCTGCCAAAGCAGGTTTTGGAGTGGCCTTTAGTCAGTAAATTTCAGCTTAAACTCACTATAAAAAAGACTGTCCTGAGGCACTTGTGGACCAGCCCTGATGCAGATCTCAGCTCTTCCATCTCGTAGCCAAGTTCTTGTCAGTTTATGTTCATCCTCTTGGGAAACTGTCTCGTTATCAACAAAAATCATTAGCATTTTCATTCGTAATACTGGACTAAGGCTGAAAATATCCTGGGCTCCATGAAAACAAGTTGAAAACAAATCAAAACAAAAACATCATCCCCTCCATCCCTCTTCTTCCAGGAGTGCAGTGCATCAAGGCAGAGTCACTCAGATGCGTCTCAGCTGTGCTACTTTACCATACAGCTTCCCTGAACTGGACCTACTCATCATGTGGAAGGGTGAGCCTTGGAGGACATGGCTCCAAGACTTTGTATCTACTTTGTAGACCACAGCCTGCAACTTGGAAGCACTCTCTTCTGGGAAGAGAGGAGGTTAAACCAGTACTGTTGGCCAGACCCCATGCCCAAGTCTCCCCTAGTGAAGAGAGATGAGACCAGGCAGAGAAGGGAAGAGTGTCATGTCACATATGATGTTTTTCTGGGAAAGAAGCAAAGTAAAGTACAATGAGCAGGTGGTTTAGCTCCATTGTTGAGGTGTAAACTAATGGCTGAGAGGGGAGGTTATGTGAAGAGTTGCCAGCATTAGAAATTTGAGAAGTCCTGCCTCTCAGAATGGCTCTGCCTGAGGCTTTTGCTTGCTGCTTCTTACAGATGATTTGTACGCATCTGGGAGGCTGTGCTGTTTGCAAGAAAAAGTCTCTGAAATAACAGAAAAGGATGTCCTATACGATGAGTGCAAGGAGAGAAGAATCCCAGCTCTCAGAGACATGTAGCCTTTAAGACGTTTGAAAGCAATGATATTTCATAAAGGAGAATCTTTGAGTAAGCGCTAAGCAGTTATTGTTTCTGGTCTTATAGATGACCCAGGAATGTGATGTTTTTACTGGCACTCAGTGAGACAATTCTTGGTTGGGAGCTATCCAAGGCTCCTGGCATGGCTTCGGCATTC